TTGGAGGCTGCGCTATATGTGGGGGCTTGTCCGGGATTTCCCTTAAATGCATGCGGCCATTGTTGGCAGTACCCAGTGAGAGGATCATGGGTATGGAGTACTCAATGGACTCCCTGATACTTCTGTGTGCAACAGAGGATTGCTGCAGTCTACACTTATTGCAAAGAGAAAGATTTGCCCAGGAAAATCCTATTGTCACAGGTGTGAGGCTGGTGCATTGGGGCTGTCTTGCTTTAGGCACCTTTCAGGGAGCACTTGTGTGTTGTGTGCGGGAGCTGCTGGAGGCCGACTGCGGGGATGGCAGCATGGAGCAGCTGCGGGCACTGCGGAGAACCTTTGTTTGAGTTATTGCCCCATTATTTACCAACAGCTGTGTACCAAGTCAACTGGAATACAGGAGTGTGTATGGAGATGGCAAGAGTCAGAGACACCTGGAGACACAAGATCTTTTCTGCCCCCTGGATATTGACAACTGCTCTCTCTTTTGTCACTGCCTCTGGCTGCCTCTGCAACGTGTGGGGAAAGAACCTGTCTAAATTAGAGTGGTTCCTTTGGGGGTTGCACTACACAAGGTTACCCCAGACAGCGTCCTGCATTTCACAGCCCATTCATAAAATGTAGGCCATGGTATGAAGCATGCAGGGTCTGCAGCAGAGAGAATTTAGTGATTGGAGTTGGTCATATGACTTGGACAGGTAACATGACTGGCTTTTCCTTTCCCTTAATCATTTTTTTTTTAGCTTCCTTCAGGTATCCAATGCCATTTTTTAATGCACACTGCTAAAGTCTTGAGCCTTTAGATCACGGGTGTCAAACTGGCGGCCCTCCAGCTGTTGCCAAACTACAAGTCCCATGAGGCATTGCAAGACTGACAGTTACAAGCATGACTCCCAATCAATCATGGATTTTTTTTTTACACTGTCATTGCTTAAATCAATGAAGTCTACTGTTATAAGCAATAGTTTTAGCTGTCATGAATGGGTTAACATTCTTGACAGCTTAGTACTGTTGACATGCTGTGATTGGCTAAAGCTAAATCACATGGTACAGGTGAACTGATAGCTGTGAGCCAATGGAAGCCAATCATGACTGTTTTGTTTATACTGGAATCATGTGATCACTATGACCAATCATAGCGATTACATATTACCTGGTTACTGGTAACAGTAATCCCCCGTGTCTGGTGGACCCAGCAGTCACAGGAGCAGGCTGGATGATGTATATGCAGGGGCAGGGGAGGACTGACAGCTCATGGGGCCCCCGGGCAATAGGGGATCATGGGTCCCCTGTGTCCTTGACCACACTCAAAGCACACCCAAAAAAGCCTATAAAAAGGTACCAGGGGCATTTCAGGGGGCCCCCTACTGACCCTGGGCCCTCGGGCTGTGCCCTATTGCTCTAATGGTCAGTCCGCCCTTGCGCAGGGGTCTGTCTACTGCGAGGCAAACAAGGCAATTGCCTTGGGCTGCATTTTACAAGAGGTGTGGTGCCAAAAGGCAGGATAGGATAGATACACATGGGGGCCGCCATGGGGGTGTTTTCAGTGTGTTTGAGATGCATTTACATACATTTACTGTGTGTTTGTGGAACATTTTTTGGAATTTTTAAAAATATATGATATATTTAAAAATAAATATATTTTATATATATATATATATATTTTTTTTTTAAATAATACACAATAAAAAAAAATAATAGGAAAAAAAAATTTAAATAAATAAAAAAAAAATATCTATATTTATAACTTGCGTTTACACTTTTGTGGTGCATTCCGGTGCAGAAAAATGCAGAACGCTGTATTTTTTATAAACGCACATGAAAGCATTGAAATGGTGTAAACTAGGCTCATTGGAATACATTCATTTTTCTAGCACTTGCGTTTGTACTGCGTTTATTAACCCACTGGACTGCATCTGGGGTACGTGATCTTGCTGAGTTTGTCTGAGTTTATCTTTTTAATCCTTGCCTATATTCCTGGTTCGGCTGATGCCATGATCACTGCCCTAGGTTTTCAGGGTGGTTGCTTTTTTTTTTTTGCATTGTGGAGCCACTTGTGCATGCACGGACTAGAGTTGTGTCTCCCTACACTTTGTCAATCAATAGAAACACACAGCCCCTAAGTCTAGAATGGAAGGGCTGACTGCAGACTGCACTGTCTGACGCTAACATTTTCCTTTGAAGACTGGAAGTTCAGGGGGGGGCAGCGCTCAGAGGGCAGGAGCCAGCAGCATTGAAAGTTGTAAACTCCAAGTGCTGGGGTAAGAATTGTACGGAGTAGTTTACAGAGGAATGTTTATTTTATTGTGTTGAACTAAAAATGCTTTATGTAGAACTGAGGCCCCATTCACACTTGAGTGATTTGTAGCTCCAAGCTCCAGAACACTTGAGGAGAAAAAAAAATCAATTATTCTCCATGGAGATGTTAAACATCACCATTCCAAGTCGCCTGAAGCCAAACGCCGGAAGCTCAAACAAGTTCTGGAGCTTTTGTTGTCACTCAAATTGGGCAGATATGCTCATTTTTGAGCGCTTTTATTTCCATAGAAATTAATGGTCAATGCGTATTTTGTGCGTATTTGCGCATTTTGTGGCACGTTTTTCTGCTTAAATGGCAAAAAATAACAATAATACATGAATAAATAAATGTAAAATAAATAAAAAAAATACACAAATAAATAAAAATAATCATAAATTAATAAATAAATTAGTTAATATAATGTTATAATAAAGAAATAAATTATAATTAGCCACTAATCTTAACCCTTAAAAAAAATTAATAATAATAAAAATAAAATAATAATAAACCCCTAACTTTGAAAAAAAAGTTTGTTTTTTTGTGTTATTTTATTTATTTATTTTTCAGGTACTTATATAGTGCCGTAAATTTACATAGGGCTTTACATATATATTGTACATTCACATCAGTCCCTAACCCTCAAGGAGTGTACACTCTAAGGTAGGGTTAGGGTGTTTATTTATTATTATTTTATTATTATTGTTATTTTATTTAAATTTGTTTTAAGGGTTAGGGGGGTTAAGGTTAGGGGTTAATTAATATTTATTTAGTATTATATATTATTAATTTATTTGATTTATTTATGATTATTTTTTTTTTATTTGTGTATTTATTTATTTATCTTACATTTATTTATGAATTTATTTATTATTATTATTATTATTAATAATAATAATAATAATAATAATAATAATAACAACACCCTAACCCTAACAAAAAGTAAATAAATAAGAAGACAATAACTAAAATATTAACCCCTAACTCTTATCCTAACCTTACCTCTAACCCCTTACCCTAACAAAAAAAAGATAATAAATGTATACAAATTTAAAAAAAGAAAGAAATAAAAGCTGATGGAAAAGCTAAAAAAAAAGCTGATAAGCCTAGCAACAAATGATGCAACAGATGATATTTTTCTCTATTGGCTAATAAAAAAACACCAAACGTCAAAAATGCCTACAAAATGCTGTATGAAATGCATGTAAAAGCGCAAAAAGAAAAAAAAAAAAAACCTCTGAAAGACGCTACACTTGAGTGTGAATCTAGCCTAAAGGCAGTTTGGTTTTGTTTTGGATAGAGTGGGGCAGAATTAGAACACCGACGGGTTTGTATTACTATCTGTGTCCCTGATAGGGAGATTCCCCCTCTCTAGTCCTGGTAACATTATCATCAATAGTGAAAGTAAAAGAAAATCCCAACTTTTGGGTTGTCTCCAGAAAAGTAATAGAGGCAAAATTTTCCAGTGGGGACACTAGTTCTGGTGATAACTGGACATTCCTTCTGGTTGTGGGACAGGAAGTGGAAGGAATTCTCCCCAATGGAGACACTGGTTCTGGAGAATACTGGGGATTCCCTCTGGTTGTGGGACAGGAAGTGGAAGAAAATCTTCCAATGTGGACACTGGTTCTGGTGACAATCGGGATTCCCTCTGGTTGTGGGACAGGAAGTTGAAGGAAATCTCCCCAATCGAGACACTGGTTCTGGTGACAACCATGGAATCCCTCTGGTTGTAGGACAGGAAGTGGAATTAAATCTTTTGATGGGTACACTGGTTCTGGTGACAACTGGGGATTCTCTCTGAATGTGGGACAGGAAGTGGAAGGAAATCTCCCCAATTGGGACACTGGTTCTGGAGACAACCGGGGATTCTCTCTGGTTGTGGGATAGGAAGTGGAAGGAAATCTCCCCAATGGAGACACTGGTTCTGGAGACAACTGGGGATTCTCCCTGGTTGTGGGATAGGAAGTGGAAGGAAATCTCCCCAATGGAGACACTGGTTCTGGAGACAACTGGGGATTCCCTCTGGTTGTGGGACAGGAAGTGGAAGGAAATCTTCCAGTGGGGACACTGGTTCTGGTGGCAACCAGGGAATCCCTCTGGTTGTGGGACAGGAAGTGGAATGAAATCTTTTGATGGGTACACTGGTTCTGGTGACAACCGAAGAATCCCTCTGGTTGTGGGACAGGAAGTTGAAGGAAATCTTCCAATGGGGACACTGGTTCTGGTGACAACCAGGGAATCCCTCTGGTTGTGGGAGAGGCAGTGGAAGGAAATCTTCCAGTGGGGACACTGGTTCTGGTGACAACCAGGGATTCCCTCTGGTGGTTGTGGGACAGGAAGTGGAAGGCATTCTCCCCAGTGGGGTCACAGAGGGCAGGGATTATACCTCTCCCTTGTTCTATCCATCATATATCTTTAATTGTACTTTATTCAGCACCAATACAACACAGAACATTCCTGTCCCTTTCCTGTAGGTAGAAAACAAGCAGCACACGTCAGTAACACCGGAAGCGCCCCACCATCTCCAGGCACAAGGCTGAGCCCCGCCCGCACTGATCACCACGCAGCCCTGAGATAGGACAGTCATCTGCTCGGCGCTCGGCTAGCTCTGGTCTGATTAAGAGGCTGGCTGCGGCTTCTTCCTTCTACTTTCTAGTGTCAGATCGATCGCTCGGCGCTCCGTCCTTCCTGGTTCCTGGGCAGCATGGCGGCGGTGTTGGAAGCCGGTTCTGTAGGTCACTTCGAGGAACTGCTCCAGAAGAGCGACAAGTACGTGTGAATGATGGTGGGGCAGGGGACGGATAATGGGGTGTTGTCCTTGAAGGGTGTCTGTGTGCAGTGCAGGGGACATGGTGGAACACAGAGAGAGGCCTGACATAGACCCTGAGACCACCAGACTGGAGATCTGCTGGGAGTTGTAGTGCCAATAATACATCCCTGACCGCCGGACTGTGTGATCAGATCACAGAGAGGAGGACAACACATCTTACAATCTGATTGGACAACCTCCTTAAAGGGTATGTCCACTCTGCAAAAAATAAATAAATGCAATGAACCGTCACAAGATTATGACCCTCCCATCCAATATTGAGTAGGTCCACCTTTTGCGGCAGTAACTATTCTGATCCATTGCGGGCATGGACGCCACTAGACATCTGAAGGCACGCTGTGGCACCAACCTGTCGGCAGATATTTTAAAGGGGAACTAAACCCTCCTCTCCTTTACAGCCATAGAAGTTGCCATCTTGGACTCTGTATGATCTGTAGTTGCCATGGGATCACTTTTATTATCTGTAGTTGCCATGGGATCACATTTATGATCTGTAGTTTCTACACATGGGATCAGCTATGACACCAGTCCAAGATGGCGGCTTCCTTGGCTACAAAGGTTAGGAGGGTTTAGTTCTGCTTTAAGTCTGAAAATAGCGAGGTTGGGACTCCATGGATCGGACTTGGTTTTTCCTATTACCTCCCACAGATGTTTGATTGGATTGGGATCTGGATAATTTGAAGGCCAAGTCAACACCTCAAACTCATTTTTTTTCCTCAAACCTTTCTTGAACCATTTTCGCAGTGTGGCAGGTGCATTATCCTGCTGGAAGAGGTCACTACCATCGGGGATATGCCGTTTCCTTGGAAGGGTGTAGTTGGCAGAAACAATGTTTAGGTAGGTGGTACATGTCAAGTAACATCCACATGAATGCAGGTTTCCCAACAGAACATTGCCCCAACACTACAAACAGAAACTGCCTCAATCTATAACTGGCTTTTGCAGCGCCCTTCCATGTGCTCCAGAGCATCCAACACTACAAACAGAAACTGCCTCAATCTATAACTGGCTTTTGCAGCAAGGAGCACATGGAAGGGCGATGCATGTCAAACAACCAAGAAAAATTCCCAGCTCCCTTACAAACCACCCTGCAACCATCCAAATTGTCCTAACAGTTCATGTTACAAACATTGATTTAGTTTGCACACATTTACAAATAAAAGCTGCAGAGCCTGTTCATGGCACCCCAGTATTATCTGCAGTCCTAGCTCTATAAATTTTGAGATCCTCCATAGTAGAAGCACATGTATAATAATGGATAGAATGAGGGCAGGTATGCCTGGAGGGAGCCCACCCCTCCTCAAAGGCACAGGGGTGCACTGGACACCCAGCAGGTAGCACAATGGCAGCTAAGGGGTCCAGTGCGTCCCCTCACCAAATTACCAATGGTAGAAACAAACGGCAACTACCCCAACCTATAACTGGCCTTTGCAGCAAGGAGCACATGGAAGGGGTGATGCATGTCAACAGCAGCAAAGAAATGTTCCGAGCTCCCTTACCAACCAGTCTGCAACCAACCAATTGTCCTGTAAAACAGTGCTATATGCTGGGTGTCCGGTGCACCCCTGTGCCTTTGAGGAGTGGGCTCACCCCAGGCTTTCCTGCCCTCACTCTATCCATTATTATACATGTGCTTCTACTGTGGAGGATCTCAAAATGTATAGAGCTAGCACTTCAGAAAATACTGGGGTGCCGTGAAAAGGCTCTGCAGCTTATGCATGTATTGCAAATGTGTGCAAACTAAAACCCCTGTTTTTAATGTGAACTGTTAGATAGGACAATTTGGTTGCAGGCTGGTTGGTAAGTTGAGCTGGGAATTTTTTTTGTTGTTGTTTGACAAAGCATCACACTGCCACGGTCACCACAGGCTTGTCTTACTGTCATACTACATCCAGGTGACATCCCTTCCCCAGGTAAGTGATGCACTCACACCCGGCCATCCACATGATGTAAAAGGGAACATGATTTATCAGACCAGGCCACCTTCTTCCATTGCTCTATGGTCTGTTTCTGATGCTCATGTGGCCATTGTAGGCACTATTGGCTATGGACACCCTGACCGGTCTGCGGATGCACAGCCCCATACACAACAAATTTCGATGCCCATTTTTTCTGCTTTCAACACATCAACTTCAGGGACAACATGTTCAATTCCTGCTTTATTTATCCCACCAACTTTCAGATGCCATTGTACCAAGATAATCAATGTTATTCACTTAGGTCCCTCTCACACAGGGCAGGATAGGTTTTTATCCAGTTTGCTCAGTGAAGATCTGTCCACTGATCCCATGCTGAGCTGAGCAGAATAGGTGGATGACCCATTCTTGTCCGCTCCGCTTATGCAGAGCAGATATGGACACAGTCTACTCTGTTCTATGGCTGTCTGTTTATATCTGACTGCCCTCTGATCTGATCCAGCCTCATGGAGGGGAGCAAATCCAATTCCACTTGTTTTTATCGGGTCGGATTGGAGGTAACTAGGTGGAAATGGACACAAGTCAGTTTACATTCAGCTGCCCATAGAGGAGAATGGAGAGTCCAATCAGGTTAATCTGAAAATCGGACAGGCGGACTCAACCGGATTGCCATGTGAGAAGGGCCTTACCCTGTCAGTGGTTTAGTAAGTTAAACCTTGTTCACACTTGCTCAAAATACTGACACAGAAAAAACATACCTTAATGCTCATTTGATGTGTTAAAAAGTCACCCCAGACGCGCATATATATATATATATATATATATATATATATATATATATATATATATATATATATATAGACACAGGCACAATTTCAGATTTTTCAGGTATTTATCAAAACATATTCAAGCTATAGTTATATAATGTATATGGGCTAAAAGTGCACACTCTCAGGTTTAATTTGAGGGTATGTACATCAAACTTGGAGGAAGGGTTTAGGAATTACAGCTATTAAGAGTAGTCATCCCCCCTTTTTCAAGGGACCAAAAGTATTTGGACAGTTGAATCAAAAGCTGTTTCATGGCCAGGTGTGGGCTACGCCTTCCTTATTTCTTTATCAGTTAAGCAGGTAAAAGGTCTGGAGTTGATTCTCAGTGTGGTATTTGCATTTGGAATCTATTGCTGTGAACCTACATCATGTGTTCAAAGGAGCTGTCCATGCAAGTGATAGAGGCCTTTTTAAGGATTCAAAAACGAAACAAATCCATCAGAGAGATCGCAGCAGCAGCATTAGGAGTGGCCAAATCAACAGTTTGGTACATTCTGAGGAAAGAAGAACGCACTGGTGAGCTCAGCAACATAAAAAGGCATGGACGTCCATGGAAGACATTTGCAGGAAGAAAAATTGTGAAGTAATTATTAGTAATTTTTTTTTCCACATACGAGCCTGCAAAGCTTTGCAACCATAATCAGTGGATGAAGGGTGCAATGTCAGGTTCCTGCAGACTATTCTTCCAGCACTTTGTCCATACCGAGGTATGGGCTTGCTTACATTTGTTGTTGGGGGGGGGGGGGGGGGGGGGGGAAAAACACACTTGAGCTGCATTTTTATTGCCCCCCCCAACCCCCAGCCCCCCCCTTAAAGTGGAACTGAGCACATCTCTGTTTACATTTCTGGCACAGTAACAGCCTGCTTAGATGAATGACTTCCATGTATGTGCAAGAGTGACATCATCCCGCACCAGTAAGTCAAGACGGGCTGAAGAGCCTTACCTGGAAAGAGCTAGGGAGATGATGCCGGTGAGGGACCTTGGGTATGTAAGACCTCTGAGGTTGTTCATGTGCTGTGACCTCAATGTTTTGATTTGCAGCCATGGCAAAAAAGACCCCATGTTGTGCTCAGTGGGCAGAACTGCCACTGAACAGAACCCACTCAAGCAAATGGGGATGCACCTGCAACCATATGCAGTGCGTGTGGCTGTGGCATTTACTGGGTTAAAACTGACAGTGGAGGAGATATGTCACCTCCTCAGCATCTGTCAAACACCTCTAAAGGTGATCCAGCAGTGGGTGGCTTTTAAGAGGTGCAACAGTGATAGCCACATGTATAAATGTAACCTAAGTCACTGTTTGCACTGTGCAGGTGCGGCAAAGCAGGTTGCTTTTCAGTGCGCTGCCTATGTGCGAGAAGTGCCCAAAAAAAGTGCCTGACCCTTTCCAAAAACCATACTCCAACAAAACTCTTGGCACATTGTTACCATGCATTTTGGCGCATGTGGATGCATGCACGTTAGCAAGATGAGTGGCATTGCTGCATGTCTGTAGAAGATCTGCGTGTTTTTGTGCATTGCAGGAAATTATGGGATTTTGTACAGGTTCCCGCAGTGTGAGCGTAGTCTAGGAGAATTGGAAGAAGTGTTTACCAATGTGGTGATCACTGTGCTCCATTGAGAACTGAGTCCGTCTGGAGTGGTGGCAGATGATACTGGAGTGGTGGCAGATGTATTGACAGATCTTTGTGAACAAATAATGCATTTGTGTGGAGCCAGGGCTGCTGTTAGAAACTACGAGGCCCTATAAAGACAACCTGACAGGGTCCCTTAATGCCCCCCCCCTCAAAAAAAAAGTTTTCTATGCTTCAGATATGAATAAACACAGTGAGTGAACACACTTACAATCCTGAACACACTCATTGTGTTCATTCAGGAAATGAGGGGGCTGGTAAATGTGACATATTTACCGGACACTTCACACACTCTATCCTGAAGAAACCTATTGTGTGCTTGCAGCTGCCTGTGGGAAGGAGAGGAAGGAAGTTTGCAGCACACAGGGGGGCTTGGGCGGCAGCTGGAAATGCATGGTGCACAGGGAGGGTTATGGATGCAGCGGGGGGGGGCAATTATTGAAATCAATCCCCTGTATGGCTCTCTGGCAACCCGTGTATGGCAACTGAAGGCCAGCAGGAGGGAGAGGGGAAGAAGCCAGCTTTCAGCTGCTACAGAGAGAGCCATACAGAGGATCA